AATATATAAAATATAAATATGTATAAAAATTAAATCATTTCTAAATATAAGATTTCCAACTTTGTTTTCCAAAATATGTATGACCGCTTTGAATTATAATACTTTTCTTGCTATACCGTGATAGCTTTGATAATGTCTATCGTATCAAATAATCTTAGACTTGTGAGAGTAGCTAGCGTAATTGAAGTTTAGTGTGCTCAGTGTGCCTAAGATCCTTCAAAAGCTATAATATATATTTAATTGCGGAATCCTAATTCTTTTCGAACGCGACACATAAAAAGAGAAAAGCATGTCGTGCCTTTCGAAAAGCCCTGTTTCTATATGCAATATTTTTTATAGAGACTTCTTTTGTGCGCACGTGAACATTGGCATGAAAAAGAAATAAAACAAAGAAGAAAAAATATATAATAAAACGAATAGCAACGATGCAACAGCGATACAAAGAAAAAACGTAAATGTGCTTCCTGCAAATCTAAGTCCTTCTCCTTTTTTTCCTCTGCGAAAGAAAAATGAATCAAAGATGGAACCGGCAGAAATCAACAGAGCGTTTCGCGTGTTGTGCCGAATTATATGATCGAATCATATAATATTTGTATAATTTTGAATAAACCACAAAATATATATCTTAGATAGCATTCTTTCTTTTTTAAATTATATTACGAACCTTATGGAAGTATTTAGCGAAATATTCTATTATACACATTAAATTTTAGTATTAACTACATCTCAACGAGAGATTATAGGTCATTATTCAAAATAGATGACAATAAGAAATCTAATATGTTACCAAAATTAATTACACGCAAATAGAAAATACGTTAAAACGCAACAATTTTTTATATATGTAACTATATATTTTTATGTTATTAAAACGTTCTTCTCTATTCTATATTAAATATTTAGCTACACAGTGCTTTATAATTTCTTTAATCCTTCTTAAAAGAGGAATACTGTAAAACACAAAAGAAGAAATATAAAATCTTAGAAAAAGCAATTTCTAACTTAGAATATGTTGGAAATTAATTTATTCGATTTATTTAAAGAATAGAGCAAATAGCAAAAATAGCAAATTTCTACCGATTCTTTTCAATTCATTAAACTTTCGTGAGTTTTCTATAAACAATAACTCTGGTATACAGCATACCAGATGCAATGTAGAGAGCCTGAAGGACCACTGTAAAACAACACTGTAATATATCATGCACACATTTTTTACCATTTAGCACCCTATATATACATATACATATATATATGTACTATATATAGTGCCTCGAAATTCGAGGATAATAAAATTGCAGCACGAGGAAAGATCACGAAAAATTAAATAATAGAAGTACATGCCATTTTTTATTCAAAGTAGTTTTTTAAAAGTTTAAAGTTTGATCATGAGCGTTGGTCAAAATCATATCTCTTTAAGTCGCGTGTACAGTGGTATTAGTCGCCAAAAATTTTGAAGATCACTAACGCTAGATAAAAGATTGTGCCGTATATTATTGAACAAATGATCTTTTAAACCAATAATCATATTTGGGGGGTTAAATTTAAAACCTCTATATTTAAAAAGACTACTTTTTGGATTAAAAAATGGCACGCATTTCCATTATTTTATTTTTCACGAATTTTTGTGCTAAAATCTTATTACCTTCAAATTTCGAGACACATCTTACATATATATATATATATATATATATATATATATATATATATATATATATGTGTATGTATATATAGATATTTATACGTATTATATGTATGTCTAAGCAAATGAGATCTTAACATTCCTACCTGTGATTCGTATAATAGAGGCTAGAGCGAGAAGCCTAGCGCGCGAACACTAGTCCTGTCCCAGCCTGAGAATCCTTTCTCTCTCTTACTTTTTCTCTCTCTCTCTGCTACCTGCCTGCTTTCTAGCTTCTTCCTGGCATTTAAGCTGCTAATCTTCATTACTAAAATTCGGATCCAAACTGCACTAGGCTAACTACTCTAGCATCTTTAACATCGCTCTAGGTTTAAGGGCGTAAGGCTGATTAGAGGATGAGAAGATCGGATCAGATCCTCAAATGCGTAAATCTTTATATCTAAAATAAAGATTTTCGATGTTTCGGGTTTTTCTATCTAATATTCTGGTAATGATAGTATTCAATATTCTTTCTTTCTTATATTATTTTTCAAGCGATGCTACATATATCAAAATTATTATATTATGTTAAATCAAGAAATTTTTTAAAAATTTGATAATTAAAAAAAAAACATGAACCGTTACAGACCATACCGAACACGTACCTCTACATAACAAAGAAGTCTCGAAAAACGACTTCACTTTCAAAAATTTTGAGATTTATAAGATCTTCAAGTTTCTTGCTACTAATATTATTAATTATTAATACTTTTTTCTAAAACAATACACAAATTTTTTTCAAACTATTAATTTTCCAAAGTTCTTAATTTCAAACAATATTTGACATATTTGATGCAAAACTTTCACATGTTACAAACGATTCGAAACAATTGACAGAGTGCCCATTACTATTTACGGGATAATTATCCATGATCGTGATAAGAAAATAATGCAACAGATTCGAAAAAAAGCTCGCGAATCGAGTCGTGAGATTTCACGCAAAACGAAAAGAACTACAGAAAACTGGGATTGATTTTTCGTTCTATACACACAAATGATTTAATACTGCGGATATACATTTAAACATCGACGCGCTCCGAGAAATCGGTGACACTTTTTTTTTTCTTTCACTGACTACAGAGTCGACAATACAGCTATTTGTTTTTTTTTGTTTTTTTTGTTATCTAACATACATCTACAAGTTCTCTCTGTTTCTTCAAGGTGTACAAGATATAAATTTTGCCTATGATAATCCTGATCTACCGTTATTACCTTGAATATTTTTATTATGCAACTTAGAAGAGAAAGTTTTGACCGCGCGAGAAGTTTCAATATATAACGCGATAATAAATACATAACTATATCCTCTACATAATCTACAGCCTCTACATGAAGTTTCATGAAGTTAAGCGACGAAACTTCGAAGTTGCACGAGAAAGATATTCCGGGTGGCAAATGCCTGTCTGTTCTAGACCCCGACGTGTGTATATGTATATATGTGTCCCTTTTGTAGTCTTTCAATCTGAGCTTATAACCTACTGACCTCGCGTCACAAAATTAAAACATGATAAAGAAAAGGTTTCTTCATTTTTATTTCGCCGATTTTAAGCGCTTAAACAATTATACAGTTTCGTAAAATAATTAAGTTTAATTATATTTCCTATTAATTAATCCTAGTTCCTACACAAACAAACGGTGAGGTATACACTGTCTTCTGTTGCCGTTTCTGTCGCTACGCGTATATGCGTGCTCTTTCTCCCTCGTTCTCTTTCTCTCTCTCTCTCTTTCTTTCTTTCTCTCTCTCTCTCTCTCTCTCCTAGTATAAATTATCTTCCTGTATATAAACATGAGTTTTTTCTTTCCTGTCCGATCGATTTTTACGATCTTTGTAAAGGACGCGCATGTATATTCGGGGGAGGGGGGGGGGGAAGGATAGTACGAGAATGTTTACAATGAATGGAGAAGGGGAGAAAAATCGGACGCAAAATTAGAAAAGGATAGATAGGCATGTAAGCCTCTCTCACTGCAAGCTAATTGATGATTCTCTTTTTTCTGTCTCTTTATTTTTGTCCTGTATCCTGATTGTCCTGCCTGCCTGACAGTTTCTGAGTTTCTGCCTGTTCGATGTCTTGTCTCTCTAGCCTGATAGCCTGCCTGCCTGCCTGCCTGCCTGCTTCCGATACTAAACAGTACAGAAGTACTGGCGACTAGAAGACAAGTAGTAGTAGGAGTAGTAGCTTCACCTGAGGTTTAAAAGTCAAGAAATCCGTTAGTCAAGCTCCCTGGTTTGTGCAAAGGACCAGTGGGGGGGGGGGGGGGGGGGGGGGAAGGATAGTACGAGAATGTTTACAATGAATGGAGAAGGGGAGAAAAATCGGACGCAAAATTAGAAAAGGATAGATAGGCATGTAAGCCTCTCTCACTGCAAGCTAATTGATGATTCTCTTTTTTCTGTCTCTTTATTTTTGTCCTGTATCCTGATTGTCCTGCCTGCCTGACAGTTTCTGAGTTTCTGCCTGTTCGATGTCTTGTCTCTCTAGCCTGATAGCCTGCCTGCCTGCCTGCCTGCCTGCTTCCGATACTAAACAGTACAGAAGTACTGGCGACTAGAAGACAAGTAGTAGTAGGAGTAGTAGCTTCACCTGAGGTTTAAAAGTCAAGAAATCCGTTAGTCAAGCTCCCTGGTTTGTGCAAAGGACCGCTGTCGGGTCGCGAGCAAGAATTTATCGAATCTGGATCAGTTTTATAAGATATTCGCGGATTTGTAAAAACATCTATTTTGGATTCCAGGAATCTTACGAAATCTGTAGACTCTCGTATCCTACCCCTCTTCGTTATACATTATTCTAATAAGATTACTCGAATCCCTATTAAAAATTCTAAACTCTACTTTTTCGAATCCTGTATTTCAAAAATTCTTCTGATTTTTCTATAAATTTGGAAATTTGGAAATTTTCAGACATTTTTAGGTTCCTAAGTAGATAATTTATAAATCCTTGAATGCTTCTATATTTTTCTCGATTCTCCTATTTTCAGATATTCGAATTTATAGAATCTTTAAGTTTTACATACATATATAAACTCTACGAATTTTAAAAGAGTCACTCTAGAATTTTGGGTATCTAAATTTTATGAAATTTAAAATGTGAAATTTAAATTGTGCAAATATTCAAACTTTTGGAGTTTCGACACTTGGAAGATGATAATGGTAGTTTTCCAGCAACAACACGCTACATTACATTCTTTTACACTATGTAAGATATTTGGAACAGTTGAATTAATTTCTGAGAGTATCGATAGAATGCATTATATGTATATATACAATTCATAATGTTTACTGTTCATACAACCAGTATTACAGCTGTTGATGTCGCATCCTATCTCGAATATTTATATACTATATTTTTTCAATAAAATTTAAAAAAGTAGACATTTCTAAAAAAATGTAATAGATCATTATTGTAATAATGAAAACATATATAGAAAAATTGTAACTCTTAATAATCTAAACTTGTGAAATTGATATATATATATATATATATATAATTATAAATATCATTGTGTGCAATGTTTGATAGTAGCGAAAAGACCTATTAGAATAAAAAAGCAAATAAGTATAGTTATCATATGTCAAATATCAAAATTTTTGAGTGTTGAAAAATACTGAGATTTTATATGTTTGTACTTAGTTTTTTGTTGTGTTGAACAGTGTGACACTGTGTCATCTATGTGAGTTGCTGGAAAACACCTATTTATTCAAACTGAAAAAAATATTTAATTAAAACTTAATCAATTCTTAATTTCTAAGAATTTTAAATAAATTCTAATATTGTATTAATAAAAATTGAATAAATTGAATATTGTTTCATTAATTTAAATCTTAAGATTTGAGAGAGTATTCTGGTTTTTACAATCTTTTCTTTTTAGGATTTTGAGCAAAATAATTTCTAATCTTATTATTCTCGATTTTAAGGATTAAATTTGTTTTCATATGTTTGGTTCATTGCGGAATATTAAATTCCAAGGAATAAATTATGCAATAATTCGACGCAATAACTCGACATCTCCAAAGTGTCCTGTTAAAATTTAAAATATTGCATTTAATCTGGTCTATAATGAATCTATCTAGATTGAGAGGGTATAATTCTTTTCCTAAGATTCTCGAGCGCTCAAAGCCCATATTCCGAGATTCTTAAATCCTTGACCCTGTAGACCTTCGGAGGTCCTAGTACACAAGTTTGATAATTGCGAACACTAAGTAAATTCCTCGAGAGAAACTCTCCATTTCTTATCTCGCGCGTTTTATAGTAGAGAGAAATAGTTTATCATTATCCTACTTATTTTATGTATTATATCTATGCACAAATATGTAAAATAAAATAAACACTATTTTTTAACGCTCATCAGATAAAGTATTATAAGATATTGTGAGAAGTAGTAGTACAGACAATAAATTTGCTATCTCCATCTAAGCTCTTCGTCTATTCTATGCTTCTAAACTTTGCTCAGAAATGTGTCGATTGTAAAAAGAAAGGAAAAAAAAAACGCTATCGAATTGTTTCGCTGCTAAATAGTCAGATTAATTCTAGCGCTACGTCAGATAAAATAATGTGATAAACATGGGGATGCAACAATCTTTAGACATAACTCTGCACTCTAATTGCATCTTTTGCACACAAGCCATAAAATATATCACGACAATGAGATAATCATTTTTCGAAGAATCGTCTCTCACTAGAAATTATCATTATATTTATATATGTATATTATAGAAAAAGAGAGGAAGAATCTTTTGATTATATCTTAAATAATGTAAGAACGCGCGAAGGATTGAACGTACGATTAATAAATTGATTCACATCAATATACAAACGCCTAAAAAAATTAGAAATTAATTCACGTATGTCGAAGTTAATTATTAATTGCGTTGCATGAATCATAGTCGATATTTCTTAATTTATAAATTAAGAAAATATCTCTATATTATTTAAAATCAAATAAATCGAAAATAAATTATTCAACGCGCCGCGGGAAATTACTCAAAAATGTCGGAATCTCGCGATAAAGATAAGCAGCCTAGAAATAGCGAATTAATAATATTACGCTAAAATTATATATAACTGTGCTTACCAGCGAGAGAGGTTGTTAGCGATATGCTCCTTTCGTTTCCTAATACCTCCTTCCGCTGCCTCCTCCTCCGCCGCCACCGCCGCCCATGTTTCCACCGCCGAGGGAATTACCGCCGTAACCACCTTGATTTCCGTATCCACCTCCGCCGCCACCGGAATTTCCGCCACCCATGGGTCCTGCAATATCATAAAACATAAATGAGTTGACCATAATTGGTCAATGATATAAAAGTTTGATAGAGTCACATAAAATAACGATATATTCCGTTTGGAAATTATACATAGAACCTAATATAGAACACTATAAAAAATATGATCTTTTCTGATAATTAAACTTTGAACAACTGACGATTGGATAACATAGATGATTGATCGGAAAAATGTTGAAAATATATTAGTTTATTCTCTATGTAAATTTTCACTGTTAATCAATAGATATTGAAAACAACGGGAAAAAAATGGAGAAAGATATGTGTGTTATTACATCGAAGGTTTTTATAATCTTGATGATCAATGATTAATTGAGATTGGGTTAATGCAACGAAAACATTGTGTTGTGAAATGGTTACAAATTAGTCGATAAATTGTCGCAAGTTTTGGGAGATGTTAAAAGCAATCAATGCAATTCGTCATTCGGATCTCTCGATAAAATTCTTGTCACGGAGAGAGAAAGAGAAAGAGAAAGAGAGAGAGAGAGAGAAGAAAAAAATAGTTAACAACGACAGAAATATAAAGATTAGAAAAAGCAAGCAAAGTACACTACTCTTGTCGCATGGGTCCTGCAATATCATAAAACATAAATGAGTTGACCATAATTGGTCAATGATATAAAAGTTTGATAGAGTCACATAAAATAACGATATATTCCGTTTGGAAATTATACATAGAACCTAATATAGAACACTATAAAAAATATGATCTTTTCTGATAATTAAACTTTGAACAACTGACGATTGGATAACATAGATGATTGATCGGAAAAATGTTGAAAATATATTAGTTTATTCTCTATGTAAATTTGCACTGTTAATCAATAGATATTGAAAACAATGGGAAAAAAATGGAGAAAGATATGTGTGTTATTACATCGAAGGTTTTTATAATCTTGATGATCAATGATTAATTGAGATTGGGTTAATGCAACGAAAACATTGTGTTGTGAAATGGTTACAAATTAGTCGATAAATTGTCGCAAGTTTTGGGAGATGTTAAAAGCAATCAATGCAATTCGTCATTCGGATCTCTCGATAAAATTCTTGTCACGGAGAGAGAAAGAAAGAGAAAGAGAAAGAAAGAAAGAGAGAGAGAGAGAGAGAGAGAGAGAGAGAGAGAAGAAAAAAAAATAGTTCACAACGACAGAAATATAAAGATTAGAAAAAGCAAGCAAAGTACACTACTCTTGTCGACTTTTGAAGCTGAAAAGTAACCTTGTCCGCCGAAGGGTGGTAACCATCTCGAATCGCCGGATTGTCGGCCGCTAGGACCTGAATTGGCGCCGTAGGGTGCCGATCTGCCGCCCGAGTTGAAGTTGTTGCGCACCGGGCCACCACCGTATCCCTGTTGATAACCACCGCCAAAGTTGTCGTTACTCCAATTGCCACCGCTGTTATAACCGCCCTGTCCGCTCTGGTTCCAGCCTCCACCTTTAAAATATCACAATAGATATATTTCTTTTTTAAATATTATTCACATCGTCTAGGATAATAAAAATGATTTAACTCTATCTGCGCCGAAAGCAATGTGTGATTTTTTCCTCTTATCGCTTTAACATTTGAAATTTAGTTGTGTTTTTCACACGAATCGGATGTTACAAAACGGTAAGAAAAAAAAGAAGTGTGTCCGTTTGCGAACCTTTACCTTGATTTTGATTCTCCCATGGTCCATTACCTCCCCAACCTTGATTACCTCCACCGCCGTATCCGCCCTGATTACCCCCGTTATTCCAATCGCCACCGCCTCCGCCACCACCGCTGCCACGTCCTCCCCAGCTACCGCCACCTTGATTGCCGCCGCGCGGACCTCTGCCTACTCCCTGGCCGCCGCGGCTACCGCCTCCGCCCCCAGCACCACCCCCGGACGCAGACGCCATTTCAGCTCTGCTTAAAGCCTGCAACAAGAGTCATCGCATTAATAAAGATACAAGATATGTTCCACATAACAGTCTGATTTACAAGAAAAGCAAATTACAGAAAATTTTCTCGTTAAAAAATTTTTTTGGAAACAAAAGTTAATATAAATTTAAAAAAAGATACTGTATATATATATATACATATATGATACAAAAATAGAATACATTAATAGAATTTGTAAAAACATATGAAATTTTTTTATATAAAAAATTAGAAGAAATTATGATGCATTTTTTCTTGTATCATAAATATCGTATATTATTTCTAACTTAAAATAATCTCTCTTTGAAAAACAACTCTCTCACTTTTTTAACGTCGACGTGCTTGCCGCGAATCTGGTGGTTACGTTGTAGACAGATCTTGTCGACGGGATCGTAGTCGTCGAATTCGACAAAACCGAAGCCGCGCTTCTTACCGGTCTCCTTGTCGGTGACTATGCTAATTGAGTTTATGCTACCATAACTCTGAAAATATTGCCTAAGATCCTCTTCTTCGTGGTCGTCCTTCAAGCCGCCCACAAAGAGTTTCTTCACGGTAGCTCCGGCTTCCGGTCGGCCAATCTCTTGCCTGGGCACTGCCCTCTTGGGCTCTACCACTCTGCCATCTACCCTGTGGGGTCTATAAAAGAGATATATTACATGTAGAAATTCAAAATAAATTTAAAACTTTTTTGCCAAATATAGAGTAATAAGTTCTTTTATTATTAACGACAATATATTACGCCACATAAATATTTCTCTTTCAGAGATAAATCACAAATTCCTTCGGATGCAAAGATCAGTAAAGTGTAATGAATAATTGGTCCTTTTTACCTGGCATTCTGAGCATCATCCACCATATGAGCACGTGAATAAGTGATAAAACCAAAGCCTCTGGATCGCTTCGTCTTAGGATCCTTCATAACGACAACATCGACGATTTCTCCCCATTGTTCGAAATGTTTCTTAAGCGAGTCATCTGTCGTTCTATAATCTAAGCCGCCGATGAACAACTTTCTCACGTGTTCCGGCTCATTTTTACCATCCTGAAATATTGAATTATGAAATTAAAGTCAACGCTAAATATCTTTCTCAGTCGTACATAGGAAATAATGTTGAAGTCTGGAAATTATCTTGTTTGATAACGCACAATACACATATTTATTTCTTCTTTCTATTATCTCTAATATATAAAATACAATAAATATTTTAAATATTGTGAAAACGAGCTCTTACCACGGAGAGATGGATTTTCAATATGGCGGTCGCTTCGTTATATATCTAAATTCTAAATAATAATTTTTCAATCAACTAATGATTCATATCAGGAAAGGATCAAAGTAAATTGTTAATTTTGATCAATTTATTTCATTATCGTATAATCTTTTGGCAGTATAATCATTGCCTCCCGCCATCATTGTATAAACTATATGTATCGATGGCGGTGCTCGACGCCGGTCATCGAAAATACATGCATGCTCGCCTATTGTATCAGAAATCAGATTTTTCGTAATAATATTAATAATAACACGAATCTTCAATTCGTGTTAGAGGTAGAAGCGCAGTTCCGCGAATATTAAAAATATTCTGCTCTTATAGTATCACGCGTACGTTCGTACGATGAAGAGCAGTATAAGCACAACAAACGTCGGAATAAGCATTTTTAGATGTCGTCGCGTGAAGCGTGACTCGCGATTTTCGACGTGATAAAGAGTACTCACATCATGTTCCATCTTCACCATTTTGAGGGACCTGGACAGGATTGCGGGCCTCCTGATACGAGAAGAAAGACGAGAAGAACCGAGGCGCGGAAACGTCGTTATTATTGCGACGACACGCGAACGATCGATCACAATTCCCTGCGCATACTCGCGTGAACCCCGGACTACGGAGCCTACGAACCGTGATCCGTGATGAGCAGTGAGGAGTGAGGAGCAGTGAGGAGTGTTGGTGAATTGGTGTTGGGGGAATGAAGCAACGGAGTGGAGAGGGAAGAGAGACTACTTGAGTCAACGCTAACCACGAACCGAACAGGCTAATCAATGCCGGGTTTTTCGCGCCTGCGCTGCTCGTCCGTAAACAATTTAATAACAATTTTCTACATGTTTTTAAATTTTTGATTTCTATGCGTTTTCTGTAATAACTTTTCTCTTTCGCAACGTTAAAATTTCTTGTATACAAATATGCATAGACATAGTATATCTAGACCGAGTGTTGAGGAGTGGTGGCTAAGGTGCACGTAGAAAAGGACATACTCTGTTCCGTGCCCCTTGCGTTCTCTCTCACTCGCATGTAGCATAGCGAAAGAGTACGCTATGCTACATGCGAGCGAGAGAGAACGCAAGGGGCACGAAACAGAGTATGTCCTTTTCTACGTGCATCTTTACCCCCACTCCTTAAATAAAGGCAAACGCTTGGTCTAGATCATAGACATAGTATAGACTCGGTCTAGATATACTATGTCTATGGCCATGACAGTGTATGTATGTATCCTTTACCACGTGGTTTGGCGGTTTACGCGATTTTATCTCAATATAAAAGAGGACGAAATCTAAAAAAATAATATGTGGCGACTCGTGTATGCGATTCGACACATATTCCAAAAAACTCATCCTCTCTCAACATCAACTCGTTCGTGACTAACGGTCAAGCTTGAACGCGGCCATTTATCGTCACGTTGCTTATCGGTTGCTATGGTGATTTTGCAAGATGGCGGAAGCTTGGTGCTGCACAGAAGGTGACGAAAATTCGTCCGAGAAGATAGCACCCCTTGTTACTTACACCATGGATCCTGTCGTCAAAGAGGTTAGTTTATTCAGCAAATGTTTAGTTTATCTTTTTTTTAATTTCAACTTCTGAACATTGACATAATCTCGAAACCCAATTTCCAGGTTAGGTTTCGCTGTTCTTGCACGAGTGGTTCGAAATTTAAATTTTTATAATTATCTCTTATCATATTATATGATAAAAAAAGATTATCAAATTACATAATATTTTTAAAGGCGTTTACACATAACTTTTCATACCTGACATATTAGAAATGCGTATTCTTAGTCCGTTTTTATTCTTTTTATTGTTTCTTCCTTTTTCTATGGTTTATTCTTTCATTTATCATTTGCTACGTGATATTACTTGCTTTGTTTATTTCTTTTAATCTTCTTTATCCTGATTAAAATCTAATTAGGATTTGTTATATTAAAATGCTCCTCGTGATACTATATGTATCTTTTGTATTTACCTGCATAAGTAATAAAAGCATTTATTTTTAGATACCTGTGTTCCTGTCCAAGACTCTGGCGGATAAGCTGTATATTGTTCAGTACCCTGCATATGTCACCGATGGCTACGCCAACGCCACCATCTTGAAAACCTCTATCAAGCCTGAAAATAAGAAGATCCACATGGAGTTTGCAATAGACACACTGAACGAAAACTCTTACGATTCCAATGTGGGGAAACAATTGGCTCTCATTGTGGACAGCAAATCTAAAAAGGATGATGAAAGAGTATTTAATAGGTATTTAATAGGATTAAAAGATTTTGATTAACTCGTGGAAGAAGAATTTATAATTGTGAAAGCATTTTGATATATAATGTCATATATAAATTTTATATAAATTATTGTCTTTTATTTATATAAATATCAATTTTTTAAATTAATTTTCTTCATATAAAAAAATTAAAAACTAAAATTACTAGGATTGGTTAATTTTTTTTTTTTTTTTTTTTTTTTTTTTGTAGCGAACTAATGGACAAGATTATGTTGACTTCAGAACGGACAATGTCAGACTGCTCGAATTTAGCAATCGGAGTATTTCAGGATGATGAGCTACATATCACACCATTGAATGGGATGCTACATATGAAATTACAGTGTGATTACCTGGACGAGAGTGACAAGCGTGGCAAGGATACGGCAAAAGGTACAGGAGAAGGTAAATGAAAACCTGTTTTTGCGAATTTGTACAATTTATTTAGACAGTCTATAATGAAACTTTACAATTCAGTCCAAATAAATGAGAAACATTAATAAATTTATTTATTTAAATACAGATGGTGATGAGGATGAGGATAATGCTATGCCAGTACAAGTGACATTTGCCAAAAATCTGCCAGATAATTTGAAAAGGATGCAGGAGCAGTCTTTTCAGCATCACTCCAAGAAGAGTCAGGAGGAGCCTTGGATACATACGAATTACATACCGTTTTACGATACACAAACTGAAGTAAGTATTGACTTCTCGAGTTTACAACAATATATGGAATGGTTGTCATTACGGAGATCGTGCGTATTTTAATAGCTCGAATATTTAGGGGCTTTTTATATAATTTTATTCATTATATATATATATATATATATAAATATATCATTTTATATCAAATTAGTTTTTGAAACATAAAAAAATTGTAACACACTTCTTTGAATGATTAAATATGATTTATGATTAAATTATGTAATTCCATGGGTTAAATGACATTATGTTTATATGCACTATATATATTGTTATAATTTACGCATCGATAAAGACTTTTTTTAATTTATAGGAGTTTATTAAGTAATGTATAGTGTAAAGAAATAAATGGCGCATGTGTAATATGCACTTTCTGAAACTCTATATATGGAATATTAATACATTAATTACTATGCTCAAATTTTGACAGAAAAATTTATTTATTTTTCTATTTTATTATCTTATCTTTTTTGTATGTAATACCAAAATGAAATTCTTATTCTTTAAAAATCGAATTTGTTTAATTTTATATCTAATCTTTTTACAGTTGACACGGATGGAAATGTTCTGTTCATTAGCAGATGAGTCTGTAAATCTGAATTTAGTATCGAGGAATTATCTATCTCTATTGGTACCCGAAGAATGTAACTCGCGAGAATATGAGAATCAAGCAGACTTTCACAATGTGGTAACCTTGCCTCTGTTGGACCAAATCAGGATAATCATGAAACATGGTGAGAAAAAGCACTTTTTTTTTCTTTTTTTTTTTTTTCTATCAAGTTTAAAGAAAAAAGAATAAGTATAATTTCTTTTAAATAAAAAAATTTTGTTTGGGCAATTCTTTCTCTCTCTCTTTCTAAATACAAATATAAAATTTATATATTAATATAGATATATACAATTTTCTCTTCAATTTATTAAAATTTTAATTTATTATGGTGCCTTAAAAATCGTGGCGGCCGTTACGAGGACCACCCTGTATATGTTTATATATTTTAATTTATTATATATTAACAATTACAAACTTTTTAAATGTGACTAATATTTTGAACATATAATTATCTACTTTATTCCAGCATAATTATTAATTTTAGATTATTCAATAGATTTTTGAGCGATACGAAAACTTGATAGAATAAGAAGAATTCGTTTTTTCTTTTGCAGTGAAAGTTATAGCCTTCGCATCGTTACGCGAGTTTTTATCCCCGATACATGATACAACAACAGTGCTAAAATATATGCAGCAAGTAGCTGTGCTGGTGCAGGGTAATTGGGTCGTAAACAGCGAACTAATCTATCCCAAGGACAGTCTTTCTGTACAGAATGGTATCTCCGAGCTCATGTGCAAAGCTCGCGATTACATCGTGAGTATCTTATCTAAAGACAATAGATTGTTGCTTCACAAAATGCAATTTTATGTTTATGTGAGATATTTAAAAGAATCAAGTATCTCATGTAAACATAAAATCATTTATTTTTTAATCATTTAATTCTTGAATCTCACACTAGAATTTAATAAACTTCTAAAATGACTGTTATTTCAATTGTAAAATTTAAACTGTTGAAACTTTTTATATTTTATTAATGTGGCATCATTAGTTGCTAGTCGGATTGTTTCTTTCAAAGTTTTATTGTCAGAAAATGCTATATGAATGGACTAAAGAACTTGGAATTCCAAGAGGAGATAAAGGTTAATTATATGTATGCGTGTTTTGCAGTTATTATTATTTACGGAGCACCAGTATCTCAAGCGCAACGCAGTCTTATCTTTCATTAAGTTGGCATCAGATGAAATCAATCAAATCTTCGAGGAACTCGGCATATACGAACCGAAGAAGGGTTGGCGATTGAAACAGCCACCTAACTGGAGCTTCTGCGACAGGTAATCGCTACGTTCCGTTAAGATTCCTTAAAATATCTTATTAAGTTAGAAGTATATACTGGAAATTTTGATGCTCACCGTTCTTATTTGTATCATAGATATCCCGAGATCGCCCAGCGGCAGGAGATGTTCTGGGATGCGAAGCGAAAGCACCTGCGCGAAACGATGGAGGCGTATAACCAACCGCCGCAGCGTCAGCGCCGCAAGTCGAACCGGGAGTCGCTGGGTTCGGAAAACGAAGAAAGGAACGTCGGTCGCGGCCGCAAGTCGCTCAGAGATTCGTCCCTGTCGGATAACGATGGCGAGCCTGCTAAACACAAGAAG